ACAAGTGAAGACTTTCGAAACGTCGTCCTCTACACTTGTGTCTCTACAACAGGCAGTTGCCGTCCATTCTACAAAGTTTCACACGTATTTTATTCGAAGTAACAGCAGATCTTCATGGATACGCTACTTTATATATGGATAACAGTTCCATTAAGATACGCTCCTTTATAACGTCTTTTCAATATTTAATAAAATATCTCATCCATATATTCACATGTATAATAACTACTTTTTTTAACCTCTATGGAATCAGGTTGTATGTTATATGTTATTTTTAATCCAATGAAAACATCTAAGCTTTAGCTCTTGAATTAACCAGAACAAAACCAACGGAAATTTAAGATGAAAGTTTTAATAGATCTTCGATTAAAAGCAGAAATCACAAAAAATTGACGTATCATGGCGCAATGAAAGGCAAATATTTATTGATACTTACAGCCTACTAGTTTTGGTAACACAGTTACCATCATCAGGACTAATATCTATCATTATTGGTAGCTGATGATGGTAATTGTGTTACCAAAACTAGTTGGCTGTAAGTAACAATAAATATTTTACCTTTCATTGTGCCAAAGAAACGTCGCTTTTGTGTGTTTGTTTTTATTATTAACATAGTAGCACATTGTGCTTGAAAAGAAATTATAAGAACCTCCATTGTTCATGTACAATGGGAAAGGTCCCCTGATGGGGCAGCGGTACGTTCACGGACTAACAATTCTAAAATTCAGGATTTGATTTCTAGTGATTTTTAAAAAAAAAGCATTTCCTTTGATACTGCAGTTTACAATTTGCTATTGTTGTTAAATATTGTTGACATATTATTTCCTTGTTTGAAAAAAACGTATTTTATTATTATAAACCAGTGAATTAAACAACCAATATATTCCATCTAAGCTACCTCTCTGAGTAAGATTACCTTTAGCAGACTTAAATCGACATAAGGTCCTCGTGCTCCTAGTGATTCCCCTTGACGCTTTTTGGGTAGGAGTTTGTTCCTCCTCCTAGTGATTCCCCTTGAGGCTTTTTTTGGATAGGAGTTTATTCACCCTCCTAGTGATTCCCCTTGAGGCTTTTTTGGATAGGAGTTTGTTCCTCCTCCTAGTGATTCCCCTTGAGACTTTTTTGGATAGGAGTTTGTTCCTCCTCCTAGTGATTCCCCTTGAGACTTTTTTGGATAGGAGTTTGTTCCTCCTCCTAGTGATTCCCCTTGAGGCTTTTTTGGATAGGAGTTTGTTCCTTATTAGACAAAGGTTATCTCAACTCTTTTACAGACGATTTTATTTCAGAGGGATTTCAATTGCTGATGAATTAGAATTCATCTTTGGTTAAAGTTTATTTAATTCTTACATCTTGGTTGTTGTTGAAACTAAACTAAATTCCTAACAACGAACAAGATGTAAAAACTTAAGACACTTTAGCCATAAAAAAACTCAATCTTAAGTTGATTTCAACAGAGGGCTAATCGCACTTCATAAGAACGATATGAATACGTTAATGCAGTGTCGATAACATGAAAGCCGTGAAGCCACATATTTGTAATACCGCTACAGAGATTCTACATCGGAGAAACCGGAAGAAAATTGGAAACCAGACTGACAGAACACAATAAAAAACCATCCCATGTTTTTCACCATTGCAACTCAAAAAAACCATAGTATATCTACAGTCATTGTAAACAAAGAATCCAACATAAACAAACGAAAAATCAAGGAATCCATCTTAATTGAACAAAACAACCC